GTGAGACGTCCAGGAGCTCTAAATCACCCTGTGAGTTTGTTTGAAGGAGTCAGACTGACCAGGTTGTTTCTCCTCGTGACTCTTTCCAGACGACACCAGCCAAAACATCAGCTTCTCTCTGGCCTCAGAGACTGGACGCTCCTCTGCCCTGCTCCTCTCCACAGGAGACTACAGGAGGCTGTCGGGGTCTCTGCTGAGTTTGTCCTCGGTGAGACCCTTTCCTTTATTAAATCTGGGATGTCTGCGTGAGGTAAATGTGTGTCTTTGTCGCCTTCTACAGGTGAAAAGTGTGAACTCCTCCAGCAGCAGCACCTGTGCCAATGAGTCCACCTGTTGGGACGGAGAAGAGGACGAAGACGTGGACAGTGTGGTCAATTTACCTGTGACCACTCCTGAAAACCTTTACCTCATGGGTAAGAGTCCAAAACTCCGTGGCACTGCTAATCAGTTAAGTCAGGGGTTCTCAAACTTTAAACGTGGATTTTTTTTTCCAGGTATGGATCTGTTTGAAGAGGCTCTGCGGCGGTGGGAGGAAGCGCTGACATTCAGGGGCAAACAAACCGATGACGACGACGAAAGTTGTGCCTCGGTCAAGACGGGAGCTGGAGACGCCATCGCTGAGCAGAACATGGAGGTGAAAACACATTAGTGCTGGGTACCATTGTTGTTGTGGCCACCTGCTGGTGGCATGGAGGTAGGATTGTGTCATTGTGAAGCCCGGTCTTCAGGCGCTGCAGACACTAGAGTGGAGAAGTTCTCACATCTCCACATTTCAACTGATCTATTTAATTTTTCTTTGGTGTTCAGGATGTGATCAGTGCTGAGTTCATCCACCGGCTGAAGTCTCTGCTGCAGAGAGCTTACCGCCTCCAGGAGGAGTTTGAGGGAGTGTTGGGAATGTCAGAGCCTTCCTCCCGCAGCAGCAGCAGGAACAGCCAGGGTGAGGCGCTAACTCTTAGCTTCTGTTACTCTGTTATTGTTGTATTTGATACATATGTTTAAAACCCCGACAGATAAAGCAGCCGACATCCTGTCCAGAGAGGACATGGACGACATCTTCCTGAGAGACAGCATCAGCATCGCCTCCAATGACTCCTTTGTTTCTGCAGCGGAGGTAAGAGAATCTGAACTCTGTTTTTATAAACAATAAAGTCGTAGATTAACCTGTTTGGATCTGGTGAACATGAGAAAAAAAAAAGTGTCACTTTTTGATTTTCTGTTAACTATAATGTGCCAGGACTTTATTGTAAAAAAGTCTTCTCATCATAACCAGTGACTGGGACTGTTGGACTGCAGGTCCAGCTGTGATCTTCCTGGTGTCTGTGAGTCGTTGAGTCAGTCCAGCAGCTCAGAGTCTTCATCCACAGACTCTTGACCCACAAAGACTAAAAATAAACTGGAGCCTCGGATCAGTTCACCACGCTGTCACTCATCAACCAGTACTTAACAGAACTTCATGAGGGTGAAAATCCTGGAGCTGAAGATTAGCCCATTAATCAGAATTAATTTATCATAATCAATTAATCACACGAGTAATTTAACTTCATTTGTTGAAAGAGAATGGCTGTTTGGTAGGATCTGGTTTTGACTGAAGCTCAGTGCAGTTCTGAACCATAAGCAGTGGGTTCGTTAATGACGATGTCCAGTCGATCGCTGCTCTTCACTCCTCTGCTTCTGTCTGTTTGTCTGACAGCTGACGGAGCACAGGGAGCTGAGGAGCTCCTTCGCTCTGGGCCATCACTCCTTCTACGAAGAGGCTCTGGAACTGGCCGAGGACGGTGAGATCTCCTGCAGGGTTCTGAGGTATGGTACTTGTAGCAGCCGTGAAGTACTTTATACTCGCAGTAACGGGAGAACTGCAGTACATCGTGGAGGCCCGACGTGTACTAAATCCTCAATCTTCTTCCTCTCCTCCTGGTCAGGACTGAGATGCTGGAGTGTCTTGGGGACGTTGACTTCCTGGCTAAGCTGCACTGTGTGAGGCAGGCGTGTCAGGTACACTTCTTGCCATCTGTATCTTTTGCATCTACCTGAGGCGCCCCCTAGTGGTCACTGCCATTTTAAGTCAACTTTTTTTTAACATACATTGAATCATTTTGCTTTTTTTGTTGTGCTTTTAGCTCATCTTGTCCGAGAGGAAGACGAGGACATTTTTAGTTGACACCGGAAAGACAATCTTGTCTTCTATCATTGTCAAAGCACAGAGGGTAAAACCTGACCTCCCAGAATCCACCGTGTCTCACTCCTGATCCGCTCCTCTTCTAAATGACTCCGTTTGTTTGTTCTCCAGAACCCAAAGAGATTTGAGGAGGTATTTGAGGAGATGATCTGTTTCCTGGAGAACACGGAACACTGGGAGAACACCGAGGCAGAGCTGGCCTCACGGGAAGTGAGTCACTCTTCACTCGACTTTCCTTACTCCAGGTACTATTTGTTTTGTTGTACAACGTCGTGCTCTGTGTCGCCAGGTAAAGCACCTGAACTTTTACGACATCGTCCTCGACTTCATCCTCATGGATTCCTTTGAGGACCTGGAGAGCCCCCCCATCTCCATCCAGAACGTGATCAATAACCGCTGGCTCAACAGTTCCTTCAAAGAAACCGTACGTAGGTCCAGAACTTTGAACAAATCAGAGGGATAAATCGTCCTTCACTGTGTTTTAGTTTTGTGTTTTTATTCCACAGGCAGTAGCATCCAGCTGCTGGTCCGTGCTCAAGCAGAAGAGACAGCACGTAAAGGTACGGTTCCAGAACTAACACCCAAATCAGACTTCTCTGTTTGACACAAACTTGTAGTAATTTCAGAGTAGCATGTTGACAAAGTACCGTCTCCGTCTCAGGTGCCTGACGGCTTCATCGCTCACTTCTACACAGTGTGTGAACAGATCGGACCGGTTCTGGCCTGGGGCTTCCTGGGACCCCGGAGCTCCCTGCACGACCTCTGCTGCTATTTTAAGGTCAGTCTCAGCAGGAGGCGTATCCAGGGTGGATGTTGGTCCCATCCTGATGGGTTGAACTCACATGTTGTTTCTGTCCTTCAGGACCAGGTGCTGAGCTTCTTAAAGGACATCTTTGACCTGGACAAAGTGCGCTACTCTTCAGTGGACAGCCTGGCCGAGGACATGCTCCGCCTCCTGCACCGCCGCTCTGAACTGCTGCTGGCCTACCTGGAGACGGACTCGCTGCTCCACCTGAGCGGCTGCAGCTCCCCACAGGTGCAGCTGATGCCCGGCACCCTGCTGAAGGCGGGGGTCCAGTGAGAGAGCCCGGAGATCTGTTCATGAACCGAGTCACGTTCTCCAGCACGACCGTGTCACGACCTGTTGGACCAGAGGAACCCACTGAGGGCACAGAAGAACACGGTCTTAATAGTTAGGGTCTGGACTCCATCACATCATGTTCTCCAGAGAACCAGCTGTTCCACTGACCTTCATACCCAGCAGTCTTTGTGCAGAAACTCCACCAGCTTCTTAGTGAACACACGCTAAAAAAATATCACAGCAATAAAAATTTAAAACTTGTGCCAGAAATGTTAAGTAAATAGGAAACACTACAAATTTCAGCGTGCTAATGTAAGGCTATTAAATGTATTTAAGAGTTTAATGGTTGGTTATCACCGCTGAACAGAGCAGGATTTTTTTTTTAGAACTCGTGCTCATAAAAAAAAAAAAAAAATCTGTGATGAGATTTAAGGTGAATGTGATGTATTTACATGTTTTTTTCCCAGCACACGTTGTCTAGAGTATTTAAAATGAACTGTTGTAACCAAGACTGGAGTCACTGGAGCAGGGGAGCTGTGATGGCACAGACCTGAACACAAGCAAAGGGAATTATCAGACATTAAAAAGTTTTTATCTTTTCTCCTTGGTGTCATATTATGTCTATGTGGGATTAAAAGTCATTGTCTGGTGTAAAAATGTGGAAAGTCTGTTGATTTGATCAAATCTTATTACTTTGGATAAACCAAAAGATTTTGTTAATTTATTTATCATATCTGACAGGCATCAACAACCTTCAACACCAAGAGCTAATTTATCACTTCACCAACAAATTTGTCACAAAACACATCATCAGTTCAGTTCAAATTATTAACTATTTACAATATTATTATTTAAATATTGTTGAATATTTTAAAGCTGTTGAATTTATCGTACACACGACACAAACTTCGACTGATTCCAACACCACAGTCTTCAGTCAACCTTGAAGTTAAACCTTAGGTTTTCCATGATCCCAACCAGTTAACACTGAATTTTCCACAGTTTCCCGCTTTAACAAACTCCATTAGTCCGGTGTACTTTTTACAACTTTATTGATGGACATGAACATCTCAGAAGTCAGTACAGATCAAACCAAACAAACCAATAAATGTGATCATATACACAGCACATGAAACTCTTTACCTTCATCTAAGGCATGCTCCTGTAGTCTTCTACACCTACTCCACCTCTGTGTCAGGCACCGAGCATCACACGTACACAAGTGAGCAAGCAAACCAAAAACTGCCCTAACTGCGACCCCCCCGATGACTTTACTGCCCCTTAGAACGTCGATGCACGTCTGTCAAAACAAATCAGTTCCTGTCCTCGTCCAACTTCAAACCAACATTCCTAATTATTCCCAGGTTAAAATGCAGGCATTGGAAACACCATCATTTGATCAGGAAAATACACCATGGCATGTATCAAAACATTTCATGAATCCCAGGAGCAAACAAACATCTGACCATCACTTTGTTTTTTTTTTGCAATCAGATCATTCAAATTCATTGATTGGTTTTTACCTTATGACTGGAGCTCTTGAACGGCCTACATTCACAGCAGGGACTGGGACTGACTCAAAGGATTCCTCCTTTTGTGTGGGGCAAACTACGACAGGGCCTGACCCTACGTGCTAAGCTTGCAGCATCCTCCAACACTGTGAGTGAGAAGTGAAGGCAGCAGCGTTTCAATAGCAGGTTTACACTGCACTGCACAGGGCAGATTTACACCAGGACAGGAATTTCAAATTAAAAAAAAAAAAAATTAAAAATCATGAACGTCACTGTTTTTGATTCGACCCGAAAGTTGAGCACATGTGGCAACAGGTTTGCATGGCATGCAGTTTTCTTCTACCAGTGTGAATATTCATGTCTAAAAAAGGCATCAGATGTACACTCACTATCAGACTGGTCTAAATGCAAACACATGACTAAATATCTAAAAACATTCGATATTCGACAATGACAGTTTTCCTCAAAGAGAATCTTAAAAACGACAACTGTGTTCTGGATAAAGTCACTTTAAAAAAACAAAGTCAAACTTAACTGTTCAGGTCTAAAGCATTGATCATGCATTTCAATTATCAAGGCAGGTCACTGTAACATTGGGACACTTTACTTCACCACTTAAGCAGAAAAGCATTGAGGCAAGGAAACGACACAGGTAAGCATTCTTTGTCTTGCATGTAATGTTTGTCAAAAATAACTGCTTTTTTTTCCCTTAGGGTTCGCTTACCTGTGTTATGGCAGCAGAACCTAAGATGCAAGGTCTGGACGACACTGCAAAGATCAGATATCGCACTGTTTGCCATCAGTCAACAATGCAGTCAAAGATTGTTTTGACTATATTCAAGAAAAATGTATATATATCAATAAATATATTCATCCTTTCAACAGCAGTGCTCATGGGAAAGGTGTCTTCAATAATGAACTACTTTGACTGCTGACATTTCTCCACATGCTGACATTAGACAATGATCTGAGCAGAAAACTAACATGCTAAACTGGTCATAGTGCAGTAGGAACTCTCTAAAGCAAATTTTTGTTTGCAATTAATCACAACAAAAATCAGAACAATGACTCTGACCTAAGCAATGGCACATGGCATTTAACATACACCAAAGAGACAACCGTGAACAGTTCCTACCAGTGGTGCAGAACGAAGCTGATGTTCAAACCCTCACTTTAGAAAATCCAACAAATCCAAACTGGCACAGAAAAAGCTACCGAGATGCATGGACAAGCAGAATCTACATCACATTGTAATGAGTCAGTGAAAGTCTCAGAAACATGTGATACAACAATCAACGTCACATGTTAAAGCCACTCCTCTCAATATTTGGTACTTACCCAAAACTCGAGGGGGGGAAAACAAATTTGCAATTTTTGACAATATTTTCTTTTTTAAAAAACTACATTTTTCTCAGTTTCAAAAGCATCACAAAAGGACGTGTATCTCTTTAAGTCAATCTCAGGTTTGTACTTACAGTATAGGAGGGAGGATGAAGACTGCTTAGCCACCACCGCCCTACAACATCTACCTTCCTAGATCGGATCAAGTCTAACAGAATGGCCACAGCAAATACTTTTTGCAACGATTTTATATTAAAAAAACAGTATTTAAAAACAGACTTGTACATGTGAGTTAGTTCACAAGAGAAAATGGGCATGACAAACGTTTCAATGCATTTTCCATACAGAGGCAATCAGAGCAAACTGTCCTCAGCGAAAGAACAGCTTAAAAATGGATGTGCGGAACACTAAAAAAAAAAATCTTTTTAGCAACAACAAATTCGCCATTGATTTCATGTTGAGGAATAACATTGTTGCTTACCGCTTTTCTAAACTCGCCTGTGAAGGAGGAAGCGTATTTCATGGATAATTACAGAACAAACCAGGCAAAGATTATTTTAAAAAGATCGAGTGCCACCACAATGCAGTCCATGCGTAATTTACATTACACAGATACCTGTCAGCGTTCTATTGACAAAGAGGATGGGGGGAAAAGAAATGTAACAAGAACATTTTGTTGGTCTGAGCCACTGGGGAATTATTGCACGCACTTAACGTATCTAAGAGCCTTAAGGACAATTGGAGAGAGACAGGACAGCAAACTGATCATTTAACAATTACACACCTCTTATCTAACGACCCACCCACACAGGTTTCTTATCGTCACCTTCCTAACCCAACCCGACTTACCGACACAGGAGGTTTCAGTTTGTTTTATTGCAAAAACACAACAGGCAACAGCATTTTAAAACTGAGATGATTTACATGGTAATGTCAACAGTTTCATAAACATGAGATCTAACCACATTTTATGTAGATACAGGGCTGGAATGACCATTTATGTATAATTACCTTACTAAAAACAAACCATTTACAAGAAAAAAAAAAAAATTCAACATAAGAGAGAGAGAGGACGTGTTCGCTGGGAAATCTGCCATCTGTGTGAAACACTTTCAAACCAAGGAAATATAAGATCTTCATCAAGGCGTCTGCATCCAAACATTTAACAAAGGATTTTGTTTCGACAATGTAGCATTTACTTTAAGTCCACTTCACATTACTGGCCCTGTGCAGAAGAAATACATAGAAGATACGTTGCATGTTAACAGCAGAAACTGGACTCAGCTTCCCAAAAAAAAAAGTTTAAACCCTGTAGTGGGAGGAAGTAGTTTTGGTTAGGTGTGTGTGTAACTGCTGCGGCCACTGGAACCCTGTGAAATCGCTGTGGAAAGAAGGAGGTCACAGCACAAAACCATCGCATACACGAGAATGTGGACGGCCAAGTCAAGTCACGGGCTTACCTGGGGGGCTTGCGGCGCTGCACCCATGGACTGAGTGTTTGTTGTGCCGTAGTAGGCGGCCTGTTGTCGGTAGTACTCTGCCCAGGCAGCGCTGTAGTCTGGCTGGCCTCCAGGCTGTGACGCTGCGGCGGGGGCTGCCTGAGGGGCTGCTTGGCCTTGAGTGGAGAAAAGAGTCAATGAGTATGTTGTGACCAAACAGCAGAAAAATACTTAGGAACACACTGTCATAAACCAAGTGCTCCCTTATCATCAAATATAGCTGCAATAAGTAGGTGGCCTAGATTAGTGATCAATATGAACAAGCTTCCCACTTGGATTGAATTTCCATTATCTATACTAATTTCTATTATATATTATTAATAGTTATTCATTTATATTATCTTGAGCAGGTTCTAATGTGTCTGACAGCGATGCCTTCATTGTCCTCAGAAAAACTTGAAAGAAAAACAAAATTGACAAAAATAATGGGAACAAAATGACTTCTGCATCCAAGGTAGAAATATTTGTAAGAAGGGGAACGAACCCACCACCGAGTTCTCTGTGTGGCAGGTCAGAAACCTTCTGTTACTCTGGGGTGGCTGAGAGAACAGCAACTCAACGGTGAACAGAACTGCTGGATTGAAACAGCCACCCTCTTATTATGTCTTTATGTTCAGTTAAATTGATCATAAAAGCTTTTAGCTTAGTAAGCTGTATATTACTGGAAGCAATAAAACAATCTAACTGAAAAAGCAAAGATCTTTAATAAATGTCATCAGTTCTTTACAGTCTGCTCCCATGTAGAATCTGTCGCATTTTTTAAAAACATTTTAATTTAATTTTCTTAAACCGTACAACATTAAGTTGTATTATTGCAACCTTGTGTTTCAGTTGCTGCAGATATTAGCCCAGGATCAGTATGTGTACTCGCCTTGTTTCTTGTAGTACTCCTCCCAGGCTTTGGTGTAGTCCTGAGGCTGCTGACTCTGTTGACCTGTATAAAGAAGCAGAAATACGTTAACAGATGTGGCCAAGTCCTAAAATCTGAATAAACATCAAGCCTAATTTTCTTTATACATAACCACAAACCCCTGTTCACAGATTTTATATCACTGACATCTACACAAGTCCAGTAACATTAACACAATCAAAGCACAACAACGTAGTCGTAATTTGGACATAGTCTAGAAAATGATCTTCTCTAAACTCATGAAAATAAAGTTTTTTGTCCACAGCTCAGTCTGCAGTGTTGCAGTCTAAACAGCACAGGCCTCAAAGGTCAAACCAAGTGGAGTCACTCAAAAAAAAAAAAGCAAAAACACTCCACAGCAGGCCAGCAATGCTGACAAATATCCAGACCTGAAAAAGAAGCTGCCTGAAACCCAGTGGCTGTTTAGACTGTCTGGTATCAGTAAGTGTACACTGAAACTACAGTCATATACCCATTTTCTTGTAATACTCCTCCCAGGCCTTGGTGTAATCTGCCTGTCCACTCTGACCTGCAGCCTGTGGGTCACCTGTTAAAAAAAACGGTACTTGTAATTAGTCAATCTCTCTCAGCAGTCTGTCCTCCACCTGCCCTGGATCAGGCTGTCAGCCTACGGATAGGGGAGGAAAACTACCCTGTCCCTAGGGTAATATAAAAGTGGGGGGAAAAAAAGCTCTGAAAAAGCAAAGTCATTAAAAGGGTGAAACTTTGTTAGAGACAACGTGAGCAAAGGAGACTTGGCCGAATGAAGCTAGTTATCTACACTGCACTACCCTGGCCTACGACAGCTGCTGCTTCTCATTAAAGCCCCGACACCTGGCTTAAGTAGAACAGCTCAGTTACCTTGACCGTTGGTCTGAGTTGTACCCGGAGCTCCGCTGGTCGGTGTCAGGGGAGTCTGTGGCTGCTGTCCGTACTGTGCATAATAGGCCGCCCACGCTGCTGCATTTGCATCAGCTGCTGCTTTATCTGGTCAGAAGGAAATACAACAATTTAATTAAGTGTCATCTCTAGTGAGTGTAAAATAGCACTAAGACCAAGCAAATGTAGAAAAAATTATATCCAAATTACACTTACTTGGGTCAGGTTGTCCCTGCTGCCAGTGAGGGTAGCCATTACCCCATCCCTGAGGCTGGTAAGGAGCAGGAGGACCACTGAGGAGGAAAGAAATTTTTTTTTAAATTTCCAACCTCTGAACAATCTCTACGAAACCATTCAACAAAAACACTATGGTCTGTCTGTTCTACTTACTGTGGTCCTGGAGGACCCTGGTTGTATGGACCAGGGTTGTATGGGCCCATTGGTGCCCCAGGGGGTCCAGGAGGGCCAGGGGGACCATGTGGGCCTGGACCTCCATGGGGACCAGGTGGGCCATGAGGACCACCCATTGGAGTAACAGGTCCCTAAAGAGAAAGACTCAGTTGAGTTCAAGATATTGGAACAGCAAATGTTGAAATGATGGACTAAAGGACAGACTTCTCACCCCAATTTTCTCCTCCACCAGCTGTCTGGCATAATCTATCTGCTGAGGAGAACCTCTGACTGTGAACATCTTGATGTTAGGATCAGCATTAGGGGGAGGATTCCTCTGAAGCTCAATTCTGGCTCCAGACTGTTGGCTGATGCCCTTGATTGTCTCTCCACCTAAAAAAAATAACACAACTCAATAAGTAACAGCAACAAAAAAAATCCCTCTTCTAAAATATTAGTTTACTGCTCAAACCTTTTCCAATAATGAGGCCAGTCTTCATGGTTGGTACAGAGAAGGAAAATTCCTGCAAACCACCAGGGGGCCCCATGTTCCAGTTGCCCTGTCCACGTCCACGCCCCCTGCCTCCACCATGTCCTGGTGGTCCTCCAGCTTGAACGCTCCTCAGGAGGTCAGTTATGATATCTGCTGCGTGTTGAGCCTGGTCAGGAGGGCCCATAATCTGGGCTACTCTGTCTGGTGCACTGCCGTCATCTGCATAAAACAAAAAAAAAAAAAAGACAATGAGACAATGTTTGGGCCTAACAGATCCCACATTAGGTACTGAAGATTCTGTGTGTTTAGGTCTCAGAATTAAAGGTTTAAATTTACATCAGCTTTCAGCGTGGTGCATGATGTCTCATCCTTGACCATAGACATTAGAGACAGTGACTACAAAGTGGTGTTCAAGACTCACCTGGTTTAAACTGAATCCTGACACCAGTGTCACTCTGTATTTTCTTAATCATCTCTCCATTTCTGCCAATAACAATTCCTACTGCAAATCGGGGAACAGGGACCTAAAGGATGGCGTCCACGTGAAGAAAAAGTTTAGCCTGTGCTGGTAAAATTTAAAAAAATGCAACTGAAAAATGTTTTACACACTTACATCTAAGCTATCTCCACCCCCAGCCCTGGAACCATACTCTCCCCTCTGCTCCCTGAAGCCCTGATCTCTGATCAGCTCCATTACCATCTCTTTGGCTTGCTGCAGAAAAACGTTTTTGTTAGGTCAAGTACCATCCTCTATAGGGGTGAACAACCCATAATGCACATGCGTAAAGAACAGAAAAAACATGGAGGACCTACCTGAACTTTAAAGGGCTCCCCAGAAATACGAAGTGGTTTGTCTGCACCTGTGTTTTGGGGTCCATCTTGGATCATCACCATCTTGACTCCAGCTCTCTCCTGTAATAAAAAAAAAAAAAAAAATGAATTACATCAAATAAACATTCCTTCCCACACACAAATATTTAAGACTTCTCACACTTACTTGTAAGCTTTTGATGGTTTCTCCTCCTTTTCCAATGACCAGCCCAGCTTTAGAGGCAGGAACCATGATCTCCTGTACACTCATTCCTGCATTGTCATTGTGGTGAAATGCGGGTGCTGGACGGCCTTTCTCAACTATCTCTGTTAGTAGTCTTTTTGCAGCCCTAATTGGTCCAAAACAGAAAAACCATCAGTATTCATTGGCATAACTAATACTAGTAATACTGGTGTTTCTTTAACACCAGCAGGTATATTAATAAATGACATGAATAAATTCATACAAGTATGACTGGAATCTCAACTAATTTAAATGCTCACTCACTGGATTGATTCTGGACCTCCCGTTAATGTCACTGACCGGTCTGGCATTCCTCCGCTGTCTGGACCAAGAAGAAAACACATTTTAATTAATTAACCAAACAAATTACCTAATGGGAACCTGGTCCCTGTAACATTAAGAAAACTTACCTGCAGCAATCTGTATTTTACAACCAGACTCCTGCTGCAACCGTGATATTTGCTCACCTCCTCTTCCAATAACTAGAAAGGGAATAAACATGTCTTAACAAACAACTCAACTCTTTTGCACAAATTCAATGTTTATAACTTTCTACTAAACTTACTGAATCCAACCATTCCATCTGGAACCTTGAATTCTTCTGAAGCTGACCTAAAAAGAAAGCTTCATTTTAGTAAGCACGATGTATGCCATGACAAGTAACGTTAGCATTGACAAATTCTATTTTTGTACGAACCTCGGAGGACCACCCATTCCTCCCATCGCTGAAAAGGCTGCGAAAAAGATAAAAACTTATATAAATGTCACATTACTGCTGATATATAAACTATAGAAGGAACTGCAACTATGCATTAACAAGGACCAAAAAAATGTTTTCAGTGACTTACCATCATTTGTAGCCACTTTCTTTGTTTCAGGTTGATCTATTACAACATAAGACAATAACCAATGTAAGCATGCATCTTAATATCTAATTCTAAGTCTTTTTAAGTCTTAATACTAGAGCCAATGTTTGGTCATGTAACCAAAGCCTGAAAATGTAAGGGTCAGTGAAATGTGATCTGAAATTATTGTTGTGAATATTACTTTTACTGGCTCAAAATCGTATGAAAATTTTGGTCTGCAGGGTACGTGTATGTACCAGTATTTTATTTTTTATATATACCTATATATGATGCACCAACACTATACTGTCCAGAACAATGCAAAACAAGATTCCAATTAATGAGAAAATACATGTTAAATGGGGAGGAATACACAGATTCAGTGTCGTGTACATTAAAGAACTACATTTTGTCATAAAATGAATAAATATTACTCACTAAACATGTTCAATCATTGAAGTGTAACATTTTATACTAAGAAAATGCAACCCAACTTAATACATTTTCACTTGAATTCACACATTGACGACATGCATACGACAATAAATATGGTTAGTAAAAGAAAATGTTAGAACGTTCGATGGAAAACAGTGATGTACTGAAATGTTATGACATATTGAGGTCAACTCTAGGTGTTTAGTATCTATTAATGGCAGGCACTAACTGTTAAGACTTTCAATGAATCGATTTGAGCCACTGACCGATATTCGGGTTAGGCATGGGAAAATACCCACCAGCGTCCTCCAAGGGCCTTTTCTGGCCTCCGTAGCCAAACTCGTTTGATGGAGGTGCTGCAACGCCGTCTCCGCCGATCTTCGCTGCGATCTATAAGCAATAAAATGTATATTAAACAAAAATTAGCTCGTCTCTTTTATAGAAAGACAATCTCCAGGGCAAGGTGAAGGCACGCGGCTGCGGCCTACATTTGCATCCGGGTATCTACGCCAACAAAGGAACGCTCAAACTGCCATTCTAGCCGTTCAGTCTGGAATTTTGTAAATGCCAAACTCAATTATAAATATTTTTAAATCATTTTTTTAGAAAAGAACCAAGTTTCTAAACAGACGCGACAAAAACGTTCGGTTTTTAACGCATCTACAGCGTGGCGCAGTGACTGTGACTAACCTAGCATGGCTTAGCTTAGCACAACGCCTTTAGCGACGGGACAAAAAAAGCCTTTTAAAACCACAGTTTGGCTGACTGCAAAATAATTTAGAATCCCATGCAGTTTGTTGAGCATTCCTACCTGTCTCGCTCGCTGCAGAGCGTCTTTAAAAGCGTCGTTCATCCCTCCACCGGCGTTAGAGGACGGCGGAGCCACGTTACTATAGTCAGCCATGTCTTCTTCTTCTGTTCGGCGGGACAAGATGGCGTGTTCCATGCAAGAGAGGCGGACGTTAGAAAAACCGTTGGGTCGAATCAGATCTCGCGATATACGACCGCCGTGGGATGTACGTTGTGTTTCTAAAATCTGGCGTCAACCAATACGATCGTTCAACCAGTATTATTGTTGAGCTCGATTTGTGACTTTGTTTTTGCACAATTTTTTTTTAAAGGCTGCGCCTTGAAAATGTGTTATTAGTTGTGGGTTCACCTCATAGAATACTCTCGTTCAGTGGAAGGCTAAAGCTTTGTACGTTTTTTCCTTTTATCTTTGAGTTTTAAGGTTTTTTCACGGCAGTTAAAAAACTTTACATAATTTATAACATGTAATGAAATTACCAGAAGAGGGCAGAAATGCAAACTAATAGCAGTTGCCCTATTTTATGCATAAGAAGAAGAAGCAGTAAAGAAACAGTCCATATGGTGCAAGGTGTTTGGGACATACACAAAAACATCTACATACATAAATTATTTTTTTTATTGTTTGACTTAAACCTTAATACACAATTCAGTTTCACAGCTCGTCAAGATCCCACTGCCTTCATAATAAAGAGTTCAGTTAAACCACTGAAGAGGTCATGAGTCTGTATCACGCGGTGACTCATCTGTTTCATTCTGCTATTTGTTACCTCTGTACCATCTCAATATGGATCTCAAGATTCCAGCGTAGAGAATAGGTCTTCAAACTTTCTGGTTAAGGTGTAGTTAATCAGGGCACATGGAACAGCCCTAACAAAACTGGTCCCCATGCCATTATAATATCCTTTGATTCCACGTCTTTGATATATCCTGATGAGTCCTTGAAACACGCCTGAAGCTGGAGGTGAGTTTGAACTGATCGCTGCAAAACATATCAGTGATAACAGGGATGAACATTGTCTCCGATTATTTTGGACGTATTAAAAAAGAATTGAAGAAAATAAATCTGGTACCTTGTGCTTGCTGCTGGGTTCGAATCACTGCTAACGGATAACTGGTTATTTGTCCAGAGGCAAAGGCCACAAAGCTAAAGAAAAACAGTTTGGAGTCACTGTTGTAGGATGGCTCACTCTTTGCCCAGTTCATGATTGACTACAACAAGAAAAACACAGTCAAAATCAGTTGTTTTTTTTCCTCACAAGTGGGAAGCATCAAGTTCTAAAACTGTTTTTTACCTGGTGAACGGCACACTCCACACCAGCGTAGGGGATCATACAGAGGATGCTTGGTTTGAAACCTCTGTAAAACGAAGACATGGACTCATTGCTGTAAATAGATCGTGCACACGCCATAACACCGTGATACGTCCCAGCCTGCTGCAGGTTGAGCCTCACCTTCAGCACCTGATGAGGGGATAGTAAAAACAAAAATACTTAAGCTGTGCTTGGATATAAGATAAATCATATTAATTATGCTGCATTAGTGATAAACGTCTAGACCAGGAGCGTCAAATATACGCCCGTGGACCAAAATTGATGAATTTATATTTCAATAAATAACATTAAATATAATTGTCTGATACACTTGTACTTCTTTGCATTAAAACAAAGGGTGAAAACATGGACTTATTGTTATTTATAGGTAGTTATGATTGTACTGGTCCGAACCACCTGACATGTAATTAGACTGCATGTGGCCCCTGAACTAAAATGAGTTTGACACCCCCGGTCTAGACACAGGGATAATTACCACAGTTTTAGCTGCAGCGTTTCAACAACAATAGCTGTAAAATGTGACGTGAAAACCTGACATTTAAACGTCATTTTTGGTCAAATATCGTTGAAACAGAAACATTTGAGACCTCAGAGCTGTCACTGATACCTCTAATGGGTAGAAGGCAATGTGAGCAACAGTACCAGACACACAGCCCAGCCCAAACCGCTGCTGCACCGTCAAAGTCTCCCGGGTGGTGCTTTGGACGTAGGCGTTCATCTGAGCAGAAATAACAGAAACTCTGTGTTGGCACGCCCATTAGAAACAGGAAACAGTTCCCTAAATTATTCATATTGAATTTGTTAGCAGAAGCCTGACCTGGGCGTATATGAGACACTGCAGGGTGGACTGTGGCGTTCCTTTCAGCACGTTGACTGCGTTACCTTGCCACATGGACCTCAGCCCACCTGCTCTCATCTCCTGGAAGCCCTGCGAGAAGGCTTTGGATCCATGGACCTGTGGAGTTAAAGAGGATTTTATACATTTCTATGCTACAAATAAATCAACAGGGGCTGCACAGAGTTCTGTGTTTGTTCCGTTTGGGAAATTAAAGAAAGACTCATTCCCTGACCGGGATTCGAACCCGGGCCGCAGCGGTGAGAGCAATAACAAGTTAACAATAAATAAATGACAAATGGTGATTAAAATATCTCTCAGTCCGAGAAGAAAACAATTTCCTGACCTCTGCAGCTCAAACTCCCATCAGAGTCATATATTTAACAGAGAGCAGCAGCTCATGTCCACTGACCTGGAGCTGGGTCTTCAGGCGATCCATGGGTGCAGTCACAGTTCGGGACACACCGTCCGCCAAACCAGCTGCCAGAACGAATGTCCTCCAGGCCCCAAACCCCGACGTCTCCTCAGGGAATTGGATTGGCATGGCCCGACTCTCACCCACATCGAAAACCTTCAAACAGTCAACTGACGTCAGATTATTTTATCCCTTGTGATGATGTTTTAATACCGCAGACAGAACACAGGTTTCCCCTCACCAGCTGGTGTTTCCACGAGGTCACCAGCTCACTGATGTTGTCCACAGGGTTGAGGATGACGTGCTGCAGAAATTCACTCCAGTCCACGGTCATAGAACTGTCCTTATCCATCCTGACAAACACAACAAAGAAGACCGTCAGTGATGTCCACAGTACAGATGTAAAAACACCATCTTTACAATACAGTACAGATCATATAGACCATCTGTTTCCACAGCATTAATAAAATGGTATGAATTCTGTGAAAACATGCATTAAAATGTATATAAACATTTTAAATTTTAGTAAGAAGTAACTCGGTCGCAAGTAACATTTTACAGGTGTCTATTTGTCAGTTTATTGCTTTAAATATAATAATATTTGTTATTGTGAACTGCCATGACAACCAATCAAGACTCAGCAAAATAATCATTTATGATTTTCACAAATCGTCAGCTCCAGTCGGACAGATGTTCACTTTAGTTGTCAAAATACCTATATGCGTTTTATTGCTTCAAATAATACTGGCATTGTATTGTTTTATGTTTGTATTTAAACAAACCACATTATTTCGTACAGTGTTATTCACATCATACAGTTTAATATAATAAGAATAAATTGTACAGTGTAATAATAGTGTAATATTGTATTGTAAATCATTATAGTATTATTCATTATAAAGCAAAGTATTGTGTAGTTCAGTGTTGTGTACAGTTGTAATATAATTATGTACAGTAATGTAGTATTTTACTCAGTATATATGACTTATATTCTTGTAATTGATTTGAACTCTTTTTATTCCTTGTTCTGGACCAACTAAAAAACCATTTAATATTATTATTTTTAAAAAACATACATGCACGTCACTGCAGTGTTTTACACTGAATATCATGTTCTTTTTTGTTTTAGACTTTTTAGACCAGTACTGCATTTATTTGTGAGGTAGAGTTCACAAAGGAATCTTACATTTGTATAATTTTTTTTGCATTCGTCTTTGAAATGACCACTCCTAACTCCTTAAACAAACATATGATGTCCTCCTGGTCAATCAGCCCTGATCAGAGGAGAGATGCACACAGTTACACACATTTACACACTGATGATGTCAGGTGATGCCTGCACTGTTCACACTGTGAGGTCAAAGGTCACAGTCTGTGATTGGCTTCAGTGTGTTGTCTGTAGTTTACAATAAACAAGACCAAGGTGCGCGCCACTGTCTTCCACGCTCAACCTTGGAAAACAAGTCTATTACTGAACAAAATAAACATTTATGATCAGACCATAAACGAAGCGTTTGCAGGAGTTCATTTGTCAGAATTCCCATGATTTCTGGCTTGAAATGATGCTTGGTGTACATGGTTTCATGTGTTACATTGAGTAAGACATATTTATCACAGGTGATTAGCTCTGCACTACTCACCACACTTGTTCTTGTCAAGGTCATTAAAGTAAATTTTCCACTTCTTCTCCCTGTCTGTCATGTAGCTGAGGAACTCGTGATAATCCAAGAGGCCATCTTTGTTTTTATCATAAGAATCAACGATGTTCTATGAGGAACAATAATATTTCAGTTAGCCTTGGATGCCGTGACCCGTGTTCATGTGAAGCCAGGATGATGAGGAACAATAAGATGTAACTGTTACCTGAACCCTGCCGTCCGTCGTGATGATCCCGTGCTTCTTCATCTCACTGTGCAGCTCAGACACAGACACAAACCCATCTTTGTCCTGGTCTAGTTTGACAAAAAGGCCACGAAACTGATCCATGGTCGGTTAAAAAATGTATTTAAAATATTCCAGGAGGAAAATAGGGTTTTAATCAAGAAGAGTGAAGAAACCTGCAGCCCTGCGGTGACGCTGACTCATTGACAGGTCCTGTTACTGGCCGACTGCAGTGAGAGAGGGATCATTGGGCCATGGAGATCATTTTTAGTTTCACATTGAGACAGCAGGTGGCGTTAGCGAACTACAAAAAGGACAAACACAGACACACCACCAGCATCTTCAATCCTCACGATGACCGCACCGCTATTTGTGGACCTGGTGATGTTATTTCTACAGACACAGTCAGTGGACTGTTAGAATGGTTATTTCTACAGACACAGTCAGTGGACAGTGGACTGAATAAAAGAGTAATAAAAAAAAATTAAAAAAAGAATGAATGGACTCTGGAGAAAACAAACTAGATTATAGCATCCTGATAAATATAAAAAAAATACATTTAAAATAAATATACACTTCTTATAAACCATACTTTTGTATATAAATACAACAAAAACAATACCCAGAAATACCTGCACCTGGTCCTGGTACATCAACACACCTGGTCCTGCATCAACAAGGTCCTGAATTCATTGCATGTTCAACAGTGTGCAGTACTGTAGAGCATTGTTTCCCAAAGACTGGGTCGCAACCCTCAGGTGGGTCGCAAGAGGTTTTTTGTTTTTTGGGTCGTCGTGCATCATGTTTCCCAGAAATTTACGAATAACGTCTATTGTCTTGAGTTGCGAAGGGTTGTGTCCCCAGAAAAAAAAATCTTTGGGAACCACAGCTGTAGAGTACTGTACCTGAGGTTGTATATGTATATTTCCTTTGACCTGAATGACCTCCAGCCTGAGAGGCCCCTGGTTGGTCATCAGTTTTGGTTCACGACACAACAATGGTTCTACAGAACTGAACGAAAATGATATCGTTCTAAATGTGGTTCTGGAGACTGGTGACCCCTGGTGACCCTTGCCCCCTGCAGGTCCAGCTGTGTCACCTTTGTCAACCACATCAAACACAGAGATCAGGAGGGTTTTTTTCCACCTGAATAACGTGTAACGGACCCCAGTTTAGTGAGTGACGTGCATCACTGTGTGTGCTTTCTAGAAAGTGCCACTGGGTTCGAGTGCAGAATTCTAGAAAGTGCCACTGGGTTCGAGTGAGGAAGGTCAAGTTGCAGTTGGAAACATAGACAAATACCAGAACTGCTCTTTCAAAATAAAGCAACTTTTACTTCAAACATTTTTCAGAAATTCCACAAGCCCCTGGTCATTATGTATGAAATGTATGTAACGGATAAAAATACATCAATATTTGGCTTTTGTCAATTTAAATGCAGTGTAAAACACAGTAGAATCACATGCATTCGCGTGTTTCTGCGCTGCTACGTTGCAGCTGTCCACCGGAAACAGAGTGCTGTAATCTTTACGTAGAACTTGACGGTGTGGCTGTGGATGCAGGGGAGGGATCTGGAGCTATTTAAAGAGACTCATCCAGTCCTGGTCTGGATTAATAACCGAGCAACTACAGAGTGGTCCAACTGTCTGTAAATGGTCTTCATCCTGGAGCGTGTGTCTGCGTGTGGACTCCTGTCACCGCCCGTTCGTTCAGCCTGAGGCCGCCGGACTGCTGTCACATCCTCCATCTCTTCCACCGGAGCTTTTCTCGTTTATATATATATATTTATTTATTTTTTAATTTTCTCCGGGCTGGGTGCAAGGAAAATGGGCAAAGATTATTACAAAACGCTGGGTATCTCCAAAGGATCAACGGAGGAGGACATAAAGAAAGCCTACAGGAAACAAGCGCTGAAATGGCATCCGGATAAAAACAAGTCTGCAGCCGCCGAGGAGAAATTTAAGGAGATCGCCGAGGCTTACGAAGTCCTGAGTGATCCGAAGAAAAGAGAGATTTATGACCAGTATGGAGAGGAAGGTGAGGCGGTGCATGTTCTGTTTGACCCGGTGTTCACGCTCCATGACATACCGGTGTTACACCGTTATAAGCCAGTTATAAACCTGCAGATCACAGATGGTCTCATTCACTCACACTGCAGCCAACGAGGCCTGAGGACGCAGCTTTTCAGCAGACAGCGCGCGCGCGCGTGCATGTACGTGTAGGAATGAAAGTCTGATACAATATTAGAGGCCTGTTACCGCAGCTGGTTAAAAGGAGACCAGATAACCAGATAACCAGCAGAATATGGTCATGTGATTTGATCTGCATTAAGTTTAAAAGGACCAGGGTGAAGGATTTAGTGACATCTAGGGGTAAGGGTTTGTGGACCATTCCAGTTCCGCCCGGTATCACCTTATGTGGGCTCAGTGAAATGAGTTAAATCACCCATCACTAGGGCACTTTCATTTTTCACTGTAGGTTGCATCCCACATGTTCCACACTGTAGATACTGAATGAAAAAAAACCCCTTGAACTTCAGGATGAGTAAATCACACAAAGTGCTTCTGAGAGCTGGTGCTTGACATTTAGGGTTTTCTAAAACACCGCCTCCTGGTGTCCTCTGAAAGGCCTTCTGTGACGCAACAAAAACTGAGGTTTGATGATGTTCAGTTACTTCTCCTGTGACACCGTCTGACTGAGGTGTAAACGTTGGGTCTTTAATTAACAGTCCAGATGGTTGTAAGTGGGCAGAAGGATGGAGGTGAGAAAAGGACGAAGAATATCACTGACGATCACATGTTCAGTTGTTGAAGTTTTACCAGAATAACTACACAGGTCTGGTTCTGGGGGGTGGGGTTGTTAGTCACCCTGCAGGGGGCACTGTTAAGGTGCGGATGACTAATGGAACATTTCTGTTGTCCACTAGGCCTGAAGGGAGGAAATGGACCCACCGGAGAAGGTCCAGGAAACACTTTCACCTACACCTTCCATGGGGATCCTCACGCGACCTTTGCCACGTTCTTTGGTGGCTCCAACCCCTTTGAGATGTTCTTTGGTTGTAAAGCCAACGGGCGAGATGACGAGGACATGGAGGTGGATGGAAACGATCCTTTTGGCTCGTTCACCAGCTTTAACCTGAACGGCTTCCCCAGGGACGGCCACACCGGCCTGGGAGGGCAGCAGCGACGGAAGCAGGACCCGGCCATCATTCATGAACTGAGGGTCTCCCTGGAGGAGGTATTCCACGGTTGTACAAAGAGGATGAAAATCTCTCGGAAAAGGCTGCACCCCGACGGCAGGACCATGCGCACGGAGGACAAAATCCTCACTATTGAGATTAAGAGAGGCTGGAAAGAAGGGACCAAGATCACCTTCCCGCGAGAGGGAGACGCGGGGCCAAACACCACTCCTGCTGACCCTGCTGACATTGTTTTTGTCATCAAGGATAAACCACATCCTCACTTTAGGCGGGAAGGATCCAACATTGTTTATCCTGTTCGTGTGAGCCTACGACAGGTGAGCCATCTCCCAGTATATAATGTAGAAGTTTCTCAGGTATGAGACCAGGCCTCACACTTCACCGTACCCAATTCCCAGAGCAGATACTGTATATTCCCTGAAAAGTACAGTTTGCTGTGTACTGTGAGTACAGTACCACTGCTATACACACACAGACAGTATGGATGTGTACTTATGTAACAGGTTCCATCAGTGTTGGGGAACAGAGGTTGTATCACGGGCAGGGCAGAGGCGTCTGCGCCCACACACTCTCGGTAAATTTACTTCTCTGGTTCCTCAGCACTGACGGGAATATCTTCCAAGGCTCAGCTCAGATCTGCAGCTCTGCAGCAGTGGTCACTGTTTGTACCAACAAATGAAGAAAGAACATTAGTTTGATGAAGTCAGTGTCATCCAGGCTGCACTGTCTTTGTCTGGGTCAAATGTTGCCAGTTTTATTTTAGTTAATGACTAAGATCAGAGTTATTACTATAGGAATGTCTGGTAACATACAAATAAACGAAACCACTACTCTAGTACAGTATCATTATTATTTTATTGCGGATTATTGTTAATATTACATGCCTCACTTTTAACTGTTTAAGCAGCAATTTTGCTGCTTTAACAGTTAATATCCAGTTTGGCTGTACAGTATGTGCTAATTCTTGTACTTACTTATTTAAGGCGGCAAAATATGTTTTGTTCTTGTAATAGACTAACACTTTTGTAATGAGGGAGTTGTGTTTCCTTCAGAAGCCCAGCTTTTTCAGGTTTGGTGAAAAATTAGATCAGGTGAAATAACCTATTTTTAGAACCGCAGACAGGCTGTTGTTCTGTGCTAACACCAGCATTTTCCTGTCTTTCCAGTCCTTGTGCGGCTGCTCGGTGACTGTGTCAACGATAGACGGCAATACGTGCAACATGAAGATCACAGATGTCGTCAAGCCAGGCATGAGAAGGACTGTGGCTGGACAGGGTCTGCCGTTCCCCAAAAACCCAGAGAAGAGGGGGGATCTGATAGTGGAGTTTGACGTGAACTTTCCAGAAACTTTGCCGGGCAACGCCAAGGACGTCCTGAAACGGCATTTACCCGCGTAGGACGAGCGACTCGTGTTCATGGATGAGGTGGTCGTTTCCAAACGCACATTTTTGGAACTTTTGTGACAGCTCACAGACGGAGCCTCCACGAACAGATGTGCAGCTTCTATTTTTGAGCTGGTATTGTCTGTGTTTTTATAAATACAGTGCATGATGACGACAGGCCGCTGCAGCTGACCGACTGTTTGGAATGATGATATCTATAAGAACACATTCATGTGTGTAGGTCTTTCCCACTTTACCGCCATTTCCTGGAGATGTTTCGTAGTGAATGAGTCCACGGTTGCCCAAGAAAGCCCTCGTGATCGTGGGAAATCAGCAGTGCCAAATCGTATGTTTTATAGCTCTCGTTTAGATTTTGTCCTTTTGCAGACGGTCTTAAATTATGTGCCAAAGTTATTAAAGAGAAGAAACGTCAAATGAACTGTAATAATTTTTCCCTGTAAAGAAACTAAACTTGAACTTCAAAATAAATATTTCCACATGAACTGATCTCCTGTCTGCTCCTGTCAGGAGGAGAAGTTAACAGTGTATCAACAATAATTATATCATCTTAGGCCTAGAAATAGCCATTCTGCAGAACACCATTACACAGAGTAGATCCTTTATGGCAGTGATTCTCAAATGATCACAGCTTGAGACCAACACTTGACTTTTTTTTGCTGCAGAACGGGACAAAACTGGAATTGCAGACATTATCCTGTTTCATAACTGTTGAGTCACAGACGCCCATCTAAAATAACCTGTTTCATAACTGTTGAGTCACAGACACTTATCTAAAAATATATAAATAAATATTTTGAAAGTGATAATAAAAACTGGTAAGGTGAAATTACAAAGGTTAAAGGTAAATTAATAATATTCTGACTGATGGTACTTTATAATAAGACGATGACTGTGTAAATATAACCGTTTGGTCTCAGCTGCTATGAATCAGCTGCCAACACGTGGACCTTTGGTTTACCCACCAGGGGACGCCACATCACTCATCCCAGCGCAGCAGGAGAGGGCCCCAATGGGCCACATTAACAGATGGCTCAGTTATCAAATATCTGCTCAACGCATCTAGTAAATTGATTTTTTTCCCCCATTTAATACCAAGCTACTTTTGCTAATATTTCCATTAGTCTGACTAAATGGAACATGATGGAACTGTTGTCACGTGTTTTTGAGGTACTGAATAAATCATCTCTATGGCTGATAAACACTTGTGTAAAATGATCCCATCCTCTCTAAAATATCTATCTAGTATATAAATGATGACTCACTCTTGTCCAGGGAGAGTAACAGAGCAAACACACGAGCTACTCACTGAGAAACATCAGTCTGACGGGAAACTAAAAATCTATGAAACCACGTTTAAAAATTCTGACCTTTCTGGTGTCTGACATTTAGTGAAATATCCAGTAATAAATATAACATTTATTTAAGTAGATTTAAGACATAATCACATGAGGCTAATTTAACCTTTAATTATACAAGAAATACAGAATGTTGCTTTACATTTGCATTATATTTTTCCAGAAATATTTATCCCTAAACAAAATTAAAATTATACAGAACACAACAAAATAAAGCCTATTCTCTAATAGTCTTCACAGAGCCCTGTTTTACTGAGAAGAAACTGTACTAGAATCAGAGGTAAATAAACAAAAACTTATTCTTGGGATGATGGAACTCACAGTTCGTACTTTTGGACTAAATTAGATTCCAGCAAGAACAACAGTTTACCTTGAAAAGAGAAAGCATAATTGTTTTATCGCTCCGGCCCCGCCGTGGCGCTGCACAGGTGCACAGGGGCTGGTGGTCCGTCCCCAGGCACGGCCCCGGTCCCTCCCACTGCGCCTGCGTCCCGCGACACGCCGAGAGAGAGAGAGAGACAAACAGAGCAGCTATTGTTAGCCTGGTTTCTCCTCAGTGCCAGAGTTTATCCCACACTCTTCATCTACCTGCTGGACATTAGCACCTGTCACGGAACAAAGCGAAACGGAGGAAGAAGAGTGTTCGTGGGAAGGTGCGTGGAAAAGACGGAAGGAAGGGAATCAATCGAGGAAAGCGAGTAGGAAATAAGGAAGTAAATAAGGAGAGCTCCTCGTCTGGAAGTCAACAGGTACTTCAATGTGAGAACAGCGACTCACACTTTTTAAAAAATATATATTACATTCAGAGTTTAAAAAAAAACACAAGAAAAACTCGTTACGATGCCACTGGGACCGTGGAGGAAGAAAAACAAGTCGACGAAGGAGCATTTGGTGGACAACGAGGAGGTGAGCGGCGGTCACGCAGGTGCCGGGAGCGCAGGGAAGTCCGCGGTGAACGGAGCGGGACTCCCGCCTCCACCCACCGACCTGCGGCCCAAGCTGGTGTTCCACACGCAGCTGGCGCACGGAAGCCCCACCGGGAGGATCGAGGGCTTCACCAACGTCAAGGAGCTGTACGGCAAAATAGCCGAGGCCTTTAACATCAGTCCACCTGAGGTGAGGAAGACGGGTTCAAACGCCCCATTACGTCAAGTATGATCATAGTTTCCATTTGATAAGATAATGTTGTGACACATACTGCAGGTGTTTTCCTTTGGGTCGTCAAAAATATTTAAGTTAATATAAGTTTAAGGTTCTTTTAATTATAAAAAATGCATTAAATAACTTTTTTTTATTTAAAATGCTGACTACACTGATTTTTATCAACCAACTTTTCACTTAGCTTTTAAGCTAAGTGAAGCTAGTTAATTTTATATTTAATCAAAAAATGTCCTGAAATACACTGTAATTGTATGTTAAAACTAGTTATTAACATTTGTAGTAGTTCTTTAAAACTGTACTTTCTTCTTAAAGTTAAAGGTTTATCTTTTTGTGAGTTAAAAATGACATTAAGTAAAGCTACATCTGGTTAGTTTCCTTGAATAGCACGAGCTACAGTATGTAAATACAGACTATTGATAATAATTCAAATGTTGCCTGAGCGGAGGTAAATGTAGTTCACCCGTTGCCTCAAGCCTGTGTATCTTGTATTATTTATCATGCAAAGCAACATCTCCAGTCTTCCTCATTCACGACATCATAAACAGGCAGCTCTGACAGGTTCTTTTTGGGGTTTAATTACACCTATAAGGCAGGATTTATCCGAGATATGGTGTAAAATGATTCTGAGATATTTTATCATTCTTTAGATATTTATGCCTATGGTCTATTTTTCAATTATTTCTAATTATTATCATTTTTTTGGTGTAGCCTAGTATCACATTCCTTTGTTTATAAAGAGATATGAACAAAACCAGCATCTGTGACCTTCTGCTGGCCTTTTTTTATGGTAAAAAGTGTGAGTGGTATGTTTGACATTTGTCAGTGTGATTATGACAGGATATGCCTGCAGGACAGTCTGCTATCAGGTCTGGTTAGATACAGGAGTCTGAGACGCGAGCTGCCGTCCTTCTGGAATCTTAGAGACACAGTTGTTTCATGTAACAAGTGCAAAAACTGAAAAGGAATTTGTCAGTGGCGCTGCTGAGTGAGGCTCAACAAAAGAACTCCCAACACAATGGTACAAAACGTCTGAGCTGGTTTTATCTGGAGCCTTTTTTATAATCTTCTTGATACGACTGGAGTCGTGTTGTTTTGTTGACTTAATTAGTCCAAGTCTTTTACTGGTATTTGTTCCATCACGCCTATTGCTGATATCCACCAGGGCTTCTCTGCCTCTGTCTGGACTTGTTCTGATACAAAGGCAGCTCAAACCATGTTCCTATTACAAAACAAAACAAGCAATTTATTACAGAAAAGTTGGACATTTTTTTGTCTCGATTACGAGCCTTTAATGATCGTGATCAAAACGCTGGTCTTCTGTCAGATTGATGAATCTCAGACTTCCTGTATGGGGAGACCGGTACAAGACAAACCTTTGATAGGACTCTCACTCTCAGATACGTAACACAGTACTGTAGTACCGATCAGTCGGTTCTGTTGGACAGTGATGGAGGTATAGGGATGGAATGTGATAATCACTGTCTTGAGTCTTTAGGCTCCACAGGTTTTATCACAGGAAGTCCCTCACGTCCGGATCAGGCACAGCCTAAAAAAATCTGCCCAGATAAACCACGGCAGACACAGCCAGAGCAGTCCCACAGAACCCTGGGGACCGCCCCCCCCGCTCACCCCCTCTGTACAGATGCCACCAAACCTCACTGTGGTGCCCGTGTTGACCACGTGTACCAGACGAGACAGAACACACAGATGGTGGACGTCGTGTCACGGATGTCATTTTTGTTTCCCACCAATTTTGACTGAAATAGAAAAATGTAAATCTTTCAAGATCAAGGTTTACAACTGGTATTTGAAGAATGCATGTTGAGCAACACGCTGCTACAGCAGTGAGCATAAACCAGGCCTAAACTAACTACTGCTATACCTGTATATTTATGGGCAGTCTTTGACTTATTAGAAAAAAAAAAAGGAAATTTAACAAATCGACTTATTCATAGGCGACAAACAATAAAAAAAGTAGACAAATTCATGGCCCATACTCATTTACAACCTTTTTGCATACAGACTTACTGCTTTGCATTTTTTTTTTTACAACAATAAACCAGTAGAAGAGTTCCACTGGCCCATGTTGTTCATGGCAGACGTCCCACAGGTTTCCTGAAAATCAAGAAACGCCTGAGCTGCTTAAAGACGTCCAGTTTCTTCACAATCATAATTTAAATTCTTTGTCTTTTCTGGCCACAGTCGTGGGTGTGTTGCAGGTCCTGCAGCTCTGGGCTAAGTTACTCGACATAGGTGGATCCATGAACCACGGTGTGGGACACAGCCCTACATTATAGTTTAGTATTTTTTACATCCGTGGTGGTTTTACTAGTGGGTGCAGTCAAAACAGGATTTGTTTGAGTCCAGGTTCTGTTGACGGCAGCTGACTGCATGACAGGGAAAAGGTGTGGGATTTTATTTGGATATGTCCTGACGAAAGTGACGTCAATTATTTTTCAACAATGCAATAAAAAAATAATAAAAAAAAAAATAAAATAAAAATGTCAAATAGAGTCCATTTGTTGAACCCCCCCACCCTCCACCCCCCACCAGGATGACATTTTGAAGTGATTGGCTGTCAAATCACAGTTACAAACTCGGTGTATTTAGAGAACGTGACTGTTTCTCAGCTGAGTCTGGTTGGAATCGTGTAATGACCGGTTGTGTCGTCGACTTCACACTTTAATGGTTACTCATTAATTATTAACACAGCAGATGTTACACTGAAAGCCAAACAGGCGTGCTGAGATTGGTGCCGGTTTGTATTGTTGTGTCTTAATATGGCAGAACTCACTATGTTACAGAAGATGACAGAAACATGAAGTACAACTGGGATGGAATTTGGGTCTGAAGGATATTTATGATCAGTAGATGAGGATTTAAAATGTATATAAAATATATATTTATATATATACTTTTTATAAATAACTTACTATATTATTGTTCAACACAACACAATGTGTTGAATTGGACCTAGACACAGGTTATGGGTCCAGTACGTCAGTGTGCAGTGCAGCAGATACTGTACTGTATCCTGTGTTATGTTAAAGAGCTGAAGTCTGTGCTATCAGGCCCATAAAGACAGGCCTGGCTGTTTACTGTGCAGGGCTCAAAGTCTGCCTGTTGTCCCTGCGGCCGCACAGTTCCAGTGTTCCAGTTCCAGGCGTGGCTCTGTGTTTCGGCCTCACGTCCACCTGTTTGCACCGAGCCCCGCTCTGTGCTTACAGTAAGCACGCAGCCATTTGCCTACAGTTTGAATACCTGGGCCCACGTCCCACCACACGCCCTGCTGTCATGGAGCCGTACGCCCATGTTTACAGCCTGACATTTCTTAATCAGGAGAGGATTAGAAGGAAACAATCTCTGGCAGCTTTAGTCTGCCGTTTGTGTGAGTGGAGTTCGTGCACTCGGAGGCGTGTGAAGCCAAACGTGCGACAGGATAAGGTCAAGCTTAGAGGCTGAGTCTCTACAGGTCTCTGTTACTGGACATGAAGAGGGAGAGACTCGTCATCAAAGTCATAAATGTGGTTTTTGTTCACAGAGGCTTGAGTTTCATAATCAGACGGTGTCTTTCTTTATCAGCATGTGATGCTGCCACATGACAGTGCAGAACACACTTCAGGGGTTTGCATGTGTTTGTGATGGTGTTCCCGGCACTGACTGGACAGGGATTTCATTTTTTCACTGATTAAAGTCCTTGTTTACAGGCGGCGATGTAGAAACTGTTGCTATGGCAGCAGGCAGCCAAGTGAACAACAACAGATTTTCTGAAGTGACTGCAGATTTTCAAGGAACAGAATCACGTGACCGTGGAAAAAACTGAAGTGACTGCAGATTTTCAAGGAACACAATCACGTGACCGTGGAAAAAAAACCAGGACGGGACGGTGAAAGAGAAAACCTGTTTGTTATCACCTGTCTGGGCTGGGTGTGGTGGTTTGTCAGGGCAGAGTTTGACCTCTGGCTGCTGGTGAAAACTCTCGGCCAACGTTTACTCCGACTCCCAGCTTCGTGTTCATGCCGATCAGCGAACGTTTTCAGCGAGATAAAACAAAAGCTCACAGTTAGACCAGAAAAGACCAGACTTTTTCCCCAGACGGAACAAAAATAGCCTCAAGGAAGAAAACATTCTGCAGTTTGTGGACTTCAGAGCAAGGAGCCTGCCAGTAGAATAAATGAATAATAGAATAATAATAGTAGAATAAATCTATTCTTTAAACCATTAATAAATAAGAGTTAAATGTTAAAAGCTGAGGTGACATCTGTCTTGGTTCTTTTATTCCTCTCTTGTTGGGTTGGTTTTTCTTTGTATTATTTTAATGTTTGTTCCACTTTAATTGACTTTAATAGAGACTCTACAGAACCCTTTGGTTCACCTTTGGGTGGCTGTAAAAGGCTGTGTTAATAAATGTTGATTATTCATTGATTGGTCTGCAGAGGAAGACTCCGTCTTCTTCCCAGAATCGTCGTATCTGTCACCTCATCAAGCAGCACGACTATCACTGTTCTTTTGTCCAACCTTTTGTTGTTGTTGGTCCAACGACACTGCAGGTTTACTGATGAGGTCAGAACTCAACGTCGTGTTCTCATCGTCTCCAATTCTATTTCAAACATCTGATCGATGACACGGAAAAACTCACATTCCATTTTTTTAAAGGTCATCTTTATCTTATCTGCGTCTCTCTGCTCACACGGGCAGTCAGAGTAATCTCTGAATTATTACGTGTACCTGACCTGTGGTACTATCTGTACTTATTTTAATTACTTTTACACCTTTTCTTTTCTTAAGGCAGAGAGACCTTTTCTCTTTCCCAAAGTAGGGGGCAGTATTGCAACTCAAATGTTGCACTGTTGCCATTAAATCCCAAGGAAGTAGTGATATCGGGAAAAAAAATCTGAATTAGCTTTGCTAAGCTAGCTTTTAAGGAGACTGAATATAGTCTGAAGTCTGAAGTTGGAAAAATGTAGACGTGATTTTAACATCTTGACTCTGTGATGTTGTGGTTTGTACAGCTCCATAGAACATTTATATCGCTATTGTCATGGGCCGTCCATCACATCACATCACATGTCTTTTTTTTTTCTTTTCTCATCTGATTCTTGCATTTTTTTGACAGCACTGACCCAAAAATACCTCTCTGTCCCTGTGATTATTGACGCTTCAGGCCGGCTTCCTTCAGTCCACAGTGTGTCACGGCTCTGTGACTGTCAGCTCAGCAGGAGGAGAGAGAGACAGAGAGAGACAGAGAGAGAGACAGAGATGAGCAGAGCTGCGTGTCTTGCAGAGAAGCAGCTTTATGCAGTCGGACGTCTTAGCAACCGTGTCGTAGTAGGAGTTCACTGCTGTTCCTCCCACTCACTCCTGGGTACTGATCTGGCCTTCGGGGGGGTGTCTGTAGGGGAGGGGGTTGTTTTGGAATAGAAAGCAGCTCCACTTCAACCTCTCCTTGGCTCTTTGCATCCTCTGCTCTCCTCTTCTTCAGTTTCCGTCTGTGCTCTTTTTTTCTTCTCCTCCTCTCCCGGCCTCCTCTCCATTATCACCTCCATTCTTTCATGGTCTGGTTTCCCGAGGCAACGTGTGAGGCCACGTCTGCTGAAGTGCACATTTGAACACGGCCTGTTTTTGTAAAAGAAAAAAAAAAAGAAAAAAAAGAACCAAGCAATGCTGCCTGGCTCTGAATGGTACAGAGGTCACAGAGGTCATCCTCTGCTGATGTACATGTTATAAATATATCTTCCTTCTCAGACAGGAAGTCTGCTCATAAACCTTGGCTCTGTGGGTTTTTTTCTTTTTCAAATTCAAATCCCTAACAAAAAATTTAATTAATCAAAGTTAAATCTCTTAAAAAAACACATGGTGTTCTGCCAAAAGCCTGGAATGTTCAACATCTGGCCCCAGGGACAGTCATGGCACTTGGAAAAAAATTATGTTTGGGTCAGGGTTGTCTTTAATTAAAATTCAAAAATAAAATAAATAAAACAAACATATTTTACTTTGGTTTCTGTTACTAACTTACTTGGTCCTTTACAGGTCCTTGAGTATTTGTACTTTATCAGGACTGTCCTCCTCCCTGAAAAAGGAATGTTGGACCCTGATGGATTCAACTTGGTGAATGAATCAGAACCTCTCTCCTCCTCCTCCCCCTCCTGCTCCTCCTCCATCACCTCCTCCTCCTCTGCTTCGCTGTCATGCTTCTCTTTAAGAGCTGTTAAATCTGCCGGCCTGTGTAACACGCTCTGTCTGATCACATTCCACCCTCCGTGTCCAGCCAGGCTGTGGGAGACGTCTCCGGGTGTCGTTGGTGTCTTCAGTCTTCACCTCAGATCAGTTGTGTTCCTGTTAAATCCACAGGTACACACTGACACCACCCAGGAGTGACGGAGGGTCGTCACCCCCAAAATCCTGCCAGAACAGAGCCCCCCTGTGTCGTCTGTATTTAGCAGTCTGACTCTGCCGTTTCTCATCCACACTTTTATTCTCCATCATGACTCAGTTTTCACCGTGAGACCAAAAACACACTCCACTCCTGAGTGCAGTGTGACTGTGTGTGTGTGTGACTGTGATGTATCAATGATTCAGACTGTTTCACAGATTCAGGAGCTTTAAAGACAAAAATGACTCATCGTTTTTTCCTTTCACTCCTAAAAGCCTTTTTGTTTTACTATTTATAAATCAAACAGCCCCAAAAAACCCTTTATATAAATATTTTTTCAAGTTAAATTTCACACTTGTGTCCATGTCTGCCACAGATGCTGTTCTGCACTCTCAACACCCACAAGATCGACATGGACAAGCTGCTGGGGGGGCAGATCGGCCTGGAGGACTTCATCTTTGCCCACATCAAAGGGACCAAGAAGGAGGTGGAAGTTTATAAATCTGAGGACGCCCTCGGCCTCACCATCACCGACAACGGAGCGGGCTACGCCTTCATCAAGGTGACAGTCTCACTGTGATGCTCTGATTGTCACGCGTGCAGCAGAACGTCACTGAACACACCATGAGCTCGTTTGTTGCCCCCCCTGAGGTGAACTCTCGGGGGCTTTAAAAAAAACCGATACAGAAACTGCTCATTGGTGCCACCGTGTGTTTCTGAAGCGGCACAGCATCCTGATTTACAGTTACACCATGTAACTGCGTCAGTAGTTGAGACGAGTGATGTTGATATTTTCTTTTAGTTTTATAAATCTAATTAAAGAAGCAGGTGATTTTAACAATTTAATTAAATATTTACATTTTACATGACGTCAGAGCCTACAATCCCTGCTCAGCTTGGACCCAACATTGAGTAAAGCAATTACTCAAAGCTAAGTAGCTAAAAATACAATGAGATGCTGAGATTCAGCCCATAAAAATTTAGGTGCAATTATGATTAAAAGCCAGAGTTAAAGATATAACAAATAATTGGCTTCCTGTGATATAAAGGTGTTTATGGAGTTTTAGAACCAGACTTTTTGTTTCAAGTCTTTATAACGACTTCATGAACCCTCCTCTTGATCGACGTCTTTACCTTCTCCCCCTCCTCTCTCCACTGCAGCGTATCAAGGAGGGCAGTGTGGTGGACAGGGTGAAGGTCATCTCTGTGGGCGACCACATAGAGTGCATCAACGGACACAACATCGTGGGGACGCGGCACTACGAGGTGGCCCGCATGCTGAAAGAGCTGCCCAGAGACAAGTCCTTCACGCTGAAGCTGGTGGAGCCCATGAAGGCGTTCGGTGAGAAACAGAGACACAGAGACATGAATATAAAAAAAAAATCAACGGGACGACGGTGGTTTTGAAATAAAGATTCCGTTACTTCTGCAGAAATGCTTGAGCCCAGGTCAAAGGGAGCCAAACCTGCCAGTGACAACAAGATCGGCACAGGGAGGGGGACGCTGAGGCTCCGCGCCAAGGGTCCAGCTACGGTGGAGGAGGAGGTGAGACTCAGACGGATGTTAACGTCAGGTCACAAGTACAGACAGAATTTGAAAACTGTTTTTTTTATATGTTTTTATATTTTATCGGTTTCAATAAAAATGAATTGTATTGTAAAATAAAATTGTATCGTGAAGAAAATCATCGTGGTCGGAGCTGGAAGTAGATTTTCCGTAAGAAGAAATAAAAAACGTTTGTGTTTTTTAGCCGACAGAGTTTGAGGAGAAGGCAGTGAAGAAAGTGGACGACCTTCTGGAGAGCTACATGGGCATCAGAGACACTGAACTGGGTGAGGAGTGTCACCGAGAGGTCACAGGTCATGACCACAGTGTGAACCCACGGTACAGTTAATTCTCTCTCCCTCTCGTCTCCAGCTGCTACGATGGTGGAGGTCGGCCGCGACAAGAAGAATCCAGATGAGTTTGCCATGGCCTTGGACGAAACCCTCGGAGATTTCGCTTTTCCGGACGAATTTGTCTTCGATGTGTGGGGAGCCATCGGCGACGCCAAGCAGGGGAGGTTTTAGGTCTCTGAATCTCTCACATACACACACACACACAGATAACACACATTGAAAATCCCAAAGGCCAAGTGGACAAACAACAACCAGCACAGGCGAAGGTTGGTTTAGTTTTTACAAAGACGTTCCATGAAAAACGGGAACGTCTCCATGACTGTACATAGAATTCTTCCAGAGGTCTCCTCTCTCCACCTCGGAGGTGGGACTGCTCCTCACTGCTCCTCAGTCTCAGCCGCTCCACCAGCAGACAGTGACGCGTCACCCGTTCTAAAACGGTACCTGCACAACTTTCTATTCCAAAGCAACCACTTCATTTTTAATGACTTGTTAAAGCTGTAAATTACTCACGTCCTTTTTTTAATCTGTGAAAAAGCAGCTCTTCCTGCAGCAGCGGCCTCGTGATTGTAGAAATGTTTCTGCCTCAGAATATTTTATTTAACTTTAAAAAAAAAAAAACTTTTACATTTGACTTCGCTCACATTCCTAACATTACTTTTTGATTTTTTTTTTCTCATCCTTCCCGGTGCAAACATCAGAGACTGAGCAATAACTAGATCTTTTTTTTTTTTATCCTTTTATCAAATGTGACTCCTCTTGTTCCTCTTCTTAAATGCAGTTTTTATGATTTATTCATATTTAGAGAAGCACATGTGGTTTTATTCTTTCTCTAATTTATTATATCTTTTTAAAAACAAAAATCATATTTTCTACACTAAGACTTGGCTCCACAGGAAGGAGAATCCAGAACAGGAACGGTTACAAATCCAGTGTCTTAAATGAAAGCACTCATGTTTATGTAACAGCACTGTGTAAAATCACTGTATGTAACTGGATTTAAAAAGTGACTTGATTCAAGTGTCGTCTACTGATGTTTAACGGCAGGTTCTCACCGTTGGACCAACCATAAGGGATCAGTCTTGTTGGGTAGACAATAAAATTTGATATAGTTATGTTAACGCTGTCATTTTTGCTTTTAGTGAATGTACACACTGATCTGTAGTTTTTTTAATTAACCTATTCAGACCAGTGACATAAAGCCCAAAGGCCAGTACTGGTCCAGGACCCAGTGATTGGGAACCTTGGATTTGAATGGTAGAAAATGATTGATTGTTTTGTAAACCAACTAAAAATCAGGACTGGAGCTGCGTTTTTTTTTTCTAGTACAAAATGAATACACACCACATTTACTCAATACTATTCACTTTATTTGCACACACTGGGTTGTGTACATGTATAAAATACACTGAAATGTTGAACCACTTGAACCAACCTTTCCCTTTGCTTATTCAAACGAGGCTGGTTGATAAATAAAAAATAAACATATCAGTGTTACATCACATGCAGCTAAACAAACACAGATACACAGGTGAAGGTCGTTGAAGTACTGTCGACTACTGTAGTACTGTATTTACAGATGGTACCCAAGAGAATCTTTGGAAGCACATCGCCATCTGTGTCCTTGGCAAATACGACGCCACTGTCGTAGCAGATTGTCGTGTTTACTGAAGGTGGTACAAAGTTAGCGTAAAGATGTGAAGTTTCCCCATAGTGTCAAAAACTGCAGTAATCTTGGCCTATTTTACAGTACACCCTGTTGAATACAGAGTAAAAATAATCAGACGAAATAAAGTAGAAGCGGAAAAAAAAAGTGCTGGATGTGATGGGAGTCCACCGTCTATAGTATGAGTATGAATATTGAACAGAGGGGGAGGTGGAGGGTGAGGTCTCGTGGCTGGCTGCTCCGACGCCCAGGCTCAGATTGAAGAAGATTGTTAGCCCTAACAGCCTGACTTGAGTCACCGCGGGGTCACAGCTCGTCGGCTGAGTGCGTCTGCTTGAAGGCGTCGCCCGTTAGCTTTCCCTGCGCCTCCTTCATACCAGACACGACTGTGGGACGTAAGGAGACAACAGCGGTCAGCTGATATCAAAGGACAAAGTCACAAAGTATGGAGGAGAATTCCGCTGCTTGACTAGAAAAAAAATCTTTACCCTGTTCAGCGTTGCTATAGAAATACTTGTAGTTTGGATTCCCGTTCTTGTTGGTGATTTCTGGATGGACTTTGCCACTGGGGTCTGTAATAACACCGACGACATTTGCAAAAATCATTGGCCACAAAAACACATTCCAGGTGCCACAAATGGCCCCTGAACCAGATGTTATTCATGCTGGTTTTAGACCACTGCCCTTTCTTACCAAGGAAAAGAATCCGAGGAATGTAGCCACCGTCAGGACTAAAGGCTTCGTCTTTTGGCTCCTCCTCATCCTGTTCAATATCGTCTTTTGGCTCCTCCTCATCCTGTTGAATCAGAATTGAAATATGTTTATTTCATCTCTGGGAACAAATTCTAACTCTTCTGAAACCTGTTTCTTTGTTTGATGATGTCACTATGACACACAAAGAGAAACTCAGCAGTTCAGAGTTGTGTTCTCACCTCCAGGTTGACCATTATAAAGTTATGTGCAAGTTCGGAAATGTCCTTGGACTCAGCGAATTTGGGCTTCAGTGCTGGTGAAAAAAAAGAGGAAATAATTCACTTTGAAAATTCATAATCATCTCAACATCAACAGCTTTGACTCCACAGACGTCTACTGTAAGAAAGTCAAATTCATTTACAGTTGATTTTGTAACTCACCTTTACAGGCTCCGCACCACGTTTTGTGGATGATGACCATGATAGGCAGCCCACTGTGAAAATCCACACCACAGACAGATTGATAAAACAAACTGCTTGTAAATAAAAAGTTGATTTTTTTTTATTTCCGTGTTGATCCCACATGGTTTCAGTGCAGATCTTCCCAGCATCAGCTCACCTGGCCTCGGCTTCTTTCTTCCCGTCATCCAATGTCCTCCAGTGAATGTTATCTCCGAAACCTGCAGGGAAGTAAATAGTGCGACAGGTATTATGTAACTGCAGCAGGGTGTGGGTCTGGCCTACATACGGCTGTGACCGTGAGAAACAACTCAGAGGTAACTTTATATCCAGCCTGAGGAGAACTTCCACCATGAGCTCAACCAGCAGTAAGATTCAGGTTCTTTGATAGATCATCCCAAAGCTCCTGGAACTGAATTTAAATCTGGGACAGAGTGTTTGTGGACAGAGTGTGGAGGTGTGTGCTGTGGGATGATCCTGCAGGATCTGACCTGACCAACCAGTCTGTCAGTTCTTTGTTTATCATCTTATTGTCCCCATGAAGACAAAGTGATATTTGTTTTGATGCTGGTTCTGTTGTACTAGATGTTATTTTGGTGTTAGAGATCAAGCTAAAAGTATTTCAAGATGGACTTTATGTGTAGAAGAGTGGAGTATTTCAGGTCCAAGACTTTTACACAGCCAAATGTTTACATTATAACATTGCCTGTTAACGTTTCGTGCCTCTGTGCCTGCTCAGGAGAAGCAGGCTGTTGATATTCATTGGTATGCACTGATAAAATCCACTGGTTTGTGCCTTTAGCAACCCTAACAAAGGCATTAAAATGTAATTTATAATTAGGAACTATTTTTCCTCCCAAATCCCCCTTCCTACCGCATAGGATTAAATGACTTCTCCTGGGACACAGCCGGAACCAAACCCCAAACTCTAATCAGGCGAAGATCCTGTTTTTAGTACATTACTTCTTTTGGTGAATCTGAATGCGGAATACGTTTATCTACAAAATCGTACAGTATCACACACACAATCAGATGTGGTAACTCTATCACTGAGTCTCCCTACCGGAGATCCTGTTCCAGTTCCTCCATAAACTCTGCAAATAAACTCACCTCTGCTGCCGGATGCGTCCACTGCGTCCTGAAAACACGTCAGCGTCAACAAAACCTGCACGAAAAAGAACAGGGCGACGTTTACCGCAGACGTGTGCATTTTCTTTCGTCGCCGTTTTCTCTTTTACAGTTGCGGGAGGCAGGTTAATGGCAGTGACCGTTCGTAAAACAACGACCCGGAAGTTCAACCGCTGGACTTCACAATAAAAGTATACGCCCAGTTCCCCAGGTAAAAACACGTCCACTCAATTCATAGAGTGTGCAGGAATTGTATTATTCTTTCTAGCTTCAGCCAAGCAATTGATAATGCATGGAAGTGATTTACAATATAATTTGTATTTTGTTTTGTAATCGCTCGACGTATTTACTGCTGCGGTCAGATTTATTGTTTTTATTTTTATAGGCGGGGAAGGCGTTCGTGTAAATGACGCCATATCCTTCTTCAACCGCGTGCTTTCGCCTCAAATCATAAAGTTACCAATAAACACCGGAAACATTGTATAAAAATAAATACCCAAATTTGGACAAGTCACCAACTTATTAGAGATTCATCTAGTTTTTCCGACCTCTTTTATCAAATCTTATGGGAAATTACAATGGTTCGATGTAGACATCATAAGAAATAATGAAGCCGTTTGAAATGTATTTTTATTTTTTTTAATCTATTTGCCTATGCTCGCTGTATTTATTTTCTTATTTTATATTGATTTGTGTTTTATTCAACAGTTGACTTGGTTTACTACATTAAATACATCTTTTTTCTCCACACATTTCATACGATGAAGGTTTACTACATTAAATACATCTTTTTTTCTCCGCACATTTCATACGATGAAAGACCTGCACCGTCCTGTAAAACTGAATGATAATACGTTTGATGAAATGTGTTACTTAAGCATGAACTAAATGCGCACAGTAACACTTTTATTGTGAAAATCAAAAGCGGAGGTGCGTTTCATTACTGCTAAATTTAGCTTCGCTGTGTCAGCCTCAGTAGCGACGAGTTGAGTTCTAAGTTTTCTCTCCGCTAGTCCTTTGTCGAAGGTACAATAGAATAATTTGTATGAATCTTAATAAAATAGCAGCTTGACACGGGTTAATCGCGTATGTATTTATGTTGTCGTTGACATTAGCTGTTAGATAAACCAGAACAAACGTATGTTCTTTTAGTCAACATGCTAGCGTTAGCAGCATAAGCCTGTTCCCAGGTTAACAACGTCAACGGATTTAAAGATACATTTTCGGCCTTTTTTTTCTTGTTCAGTTATAATTTAACATTGTACGTTCTCTTAGTGTTTTAACTGTTTAGATGACAGATCAGCTCAGCTCCGTCAACTGTCAGTAATGCCAATTGGCATCAATTCGTTACTTATATTCTTTTTTGTTGTCATATTGGTCGTTTAATGAATGTTAACTCTGGTACAAGTGCAATAATCTGACATATTTGAATTTATTTTAAGACTGAACATCATGAATCAAGAAAAGCTGGCCAAACTGAAGGCTGAAGTCCGGATAGGAGGAAAGGTACAGTCTGCTCTTTTATATAAAGTCGATTATAGTTCTGTTACATTCCACAGTATAAAAATGAAAATCGGTTTTATTCGGCTGTGTGTGAATATTAAAATATATAATAGGCAAGTTTGACATTTATTCCCGATTTTAGTAAAAAAAATAGGTGACACAGTGGGAAATGTGTTATAATATATATGGTCCTGTTGTTTACTCAGTCGTTGCACGTGTTGACAAGTGTCGCCTTTTTCCCCCTGACTGCAGCATTCTCTTTATCGGGATCTGTGACGTAATCTGTGGCCTTTTGTTATGACTAAATGTGAGGATTTCAGACACACACTAGGTGGCGTTATTTGTCCTTTTTTTGGTTGCTCTGACTGAAGCCCCCCAGAGTTTCACGGTCTGTCTTCCTGCTGTTCTTCACAGCATTAATTGATGATGAAGCATTTATGAAGGGCATCGATCATTGACAATCTTTACGTCTGTTCTGTCTTCAGGGAACTCCCCGCAGAAAGAAGAAGGTCGTTCATAAAACAGCAAGTGCTGATGACAAGAAACTTCAGGGTTCACTGAAGAAACTGTCGGTGAGCACCATCACCGGTATAGAAGAGGTGAGGATGAGGCATCTTTTGTCCTTTTTGTCTATGTTGTGAATAAATATGTGTTTATTTTTTTCAATACACCAGCAGAACTTTTTTCCAGTCTTACTCTTCTCTTCTCTGCCCCCTGAACTTTTTTCCAGTCTTACTCTTCTCTGCCCCCCTCAGGTGAACATGATAAAGAACGATGGCACAGTGATCCACTTCAACAACCCCAAGGTGCAGGCGTCCCTGTCAGCCAACACCTTCTCCATCTCAGGCCACGCCGAGACCAAGCAGCTGACTGAGATGCTCCCCGGCATCCTGAGCCAACTGGGAGCCGACAGCATCACCAACCTGCGGAAGTTGGCCGAGCAGTTCCCACGGCAAGGTGAGTCGGTACCTGAGTTGTCGTGAAGCGAGGATTTCAAACTTGGTGTTGATGTCACGCTCAATTTAAGATGGTTTGCAAAACAAAACCACTGACAGATTTTTATATTTTATTTAGCAATGGACTCCAAATCAGTGAAGGAGGAAATAGCGGAGGAAGAGGACGACGATGTACCAGGTAAGACTGAAGCTAATTTAATGTCAGAACACTTAAGTCGTGTCAGTGTGATTTTATTTTGTGTATTTTTATTTTTCCAGACCTGGTGGAGAACTTTGACGAAGCTTCAAAGAACGAAGCAAACTGAAAATGTTTACTTGTGATCCCGTGACGGACGCTTTTTAAATTTGTACCTCCCACAGACTCACAAAGGTTGTTTCCTGCTGTGAGGAAACGTGTGAGCTTTTATTAAAAGTGCAATGCACCACGTCTGCAGACGTGAACCACAACCTGCAGCAGACGGACGTCGTGCAGACCCAGATCCAGGAGGTTTTTGGTTTCAGCGTGTGTTTTGATATTGTGGACACTCCAAGAATCTGTGCTCCCGAAAACACTTTAGAAGCACTGTGAGCTTTCTACATAGATTTTAATTAAAATACTGTTTATTAAAAATACACAAGTGAAGAATAAATCAGACATTTTACACAAAGTGGTAATAGTGCATCTAATAAAAGATTTTTAAGCTCTCTTTCTTTTCCCTATTTTACTTTGTTGAATTATTTTTCTTCTTCCAAAGACAAAGAATAGCAGCAGGGTACTAACTTCCTGTTGCAGTAATCAGTTTTGAATTAATGGTTTAAAGTATTCATACGAGAAGAATAATAGATTGTTGTTTGTGTTATAAATAAACTCGGTTTTATTATAGAAAAAACATGCAAATATTCGAAATGTAATTAATATTTTCATTGATATTTTTCATAGATCGAATCAGCTGGGTTTTTTTTAAGAAAAGCATTATGAAGTATCTGTGTAAAAACTGGAGTCGGCTTAAATCGTCATCACTGTCACGTCTCATTTCATCGATCTGTCTTTGCTGATGCTGATGCTGCTGCAGCATCATCATCATCATCCTGCTCCTCCTGCTGCTGCTGGGCTGCGGCGGAGCTCCGATAGGGTTACCGGGCAATAACGTGCCCATTTTGGCGCCTGGCTGTCGTATGGTGAGCGGGACGAAGCTGTAGACCCGCCCCGGGGATCATCACACCAAAAAAATCAAAATGTCCTAAACTACTATTACTACTGCTGCTGGAGATCAGTGCGGGAACTGGCCAAAACCAAGCGCTTTCAACTGCGTCAAGTTGGACAATAACTGCTGAACACAAACAGGAAGTCAGTTCTTTTAGCTCTAACAATAAAAAATCAAAAGTTTTGTTCGTATTACTCATACATTAGGAAAGGTGGAAGAACTTTATTATTTATGAATGCTATAAAAATATTTCTTCAAATAGAAAGCTTATGTTACCCCAGCCCATATCCATTATCAATATGACTACAGACTACAAACTACAGTTGTAAAATCCTTCACTAACAGCAGCGGCGGGCGTTTTATTTTGAAATGTATATGCGGAAGCCATTCATTTAAACTTGGTTATCTTTTCGTTTATCCTAATTTTCCCCTAATATTGAACGCAGGGGAGGGATAGTTGAGAGCTGCCACACAACTACGGTTCACTACAGGCTTTACTTTCCGCACTCAGTGCAGTTCGAGTCGCACAGACCGCTCAAAAATAGTCCGCAAAGGCGATTACTGATGACGGCTACGAACGGAGGGGCTACGCGGCTCTGACTGGACGTAAAGATGAGGATTCCTCCGGTGAGTAAGTGCATTTGTTTTCGTGACACTTCCGAGGAAAAAACGTTACCGGTGACCGTGAGTATTATTTCACCGTGGGTGGGGGTTGTAGTATTTTAAAATTAGAATTCTATGTCATATGTAGTAGTATAATTGGAGGCTAACGGGTGGAGGGATACAGAGGAGAGAAGGTGGCGTTACCTTCAACCGTATCACTACATTTTTACGTCAATTACACAACGCGTTAACGCTCTCCTTGAAGCTGTAAACTCAAGTAAAAACACAACTGGCTTTTACTTCCTAATATCATAAAAATAGAGTTCATCACTTAAAATCATTTTTATTACATAAACGTTTTCTCCGGACGGGTTCAAATGCCGTTAAATAGCTCCGAAGACCAGCGTGACAGTGGCGGGGGGTGTGCGCGGGGGCGGTCCGTCGCCCCTGGAGC